TTCCGATGACTAGGTGGTTCAGCCCGTCGAATCTGCAAAAGTAGCTGTAATCACAACCTTTTTTCAGGTCGTCTGACTTTAAACCTCCATAACTCCTTACCCAATTGATAGATATCTTCTGGAGGACTTCCTACTAATTCGCAGAAAGCCATTACATAGGATTGATAAATATTTTCTCGGTTGGCAAGACTTGGTTACTCTGGGTAACAGGGTTTAAATCACTGCTGTAGTATGTAGAAGTTATCCTCCTAACTACAACGTATTCTGAAACCTAGTTGTGACACTCCATAAAGTCCAATGGCTTCTATAGTAGTGTTCTTCGGAGTTCTAGACTCTTCTGGATATTGTAGGATAAATGTGAATGTATTGGTCTCTCACTGAGATCCTTTACCATTTGATACCATCTCTTTGTGTGAAAATGTCCCATTACCTATGGCCTATGCCAAAGATATTCCATCTTTGAAGTCTAGTAACGTTCTGAGTAGTGGATGGATTTACTCCCTTTCACTTCTCAGACCTAGCCGAGGTTCTCTTTCATATATTTTGCAAACAGGATCTGGATGGACGGATGGTAGCGACATATATAGTGTTATTCTGACACTTTCAATTCTGTGGCAGTATAGTCACTGGAGGCAACTGAGATTAATATAAATGATGATGTTGAGGCCTGGTAAGGGGGCCAGAGTAGGGTGTTGGAGACCAGAAGTTCTGATTCTGGGTGAGGTTACCCTACTTAGGGTGACTCCTAGGTATCGGATCCTGGTATTCCTAACATGAGCTTCCTCCTCTTAAGACCTTGCTCCAAATGCCTTTTTAGTACATATAAAATAAATTAAAATTAAAAATTAAAATAAAATATTAAATTATTAAAACCTCAATCAATAGCTCCTTTAGGACCTGATGAGAGCAGGATGAAAAACATTCTGTGTTTGCTTGGCCACAGTAGGAAATCCTTTTCTTTATTGTCCTTTCTCTGCCCATTGTGGTATTTCCGGATTATCCTAGTAGAACTCTTCCACCATTTCCTTTGCATTATCCATACCTGTGTCAGGTTCCCTGATGTTTTCATCTTCGGAAAAAGCTTGTCATTTAACAAAGTACCATAGTTCACATACCTCCTAGTACCGACCCTGTACTCTCTTTCATTAAGAGTGTATCTCGTGTCTTACGATTTTCTCTATTTCTTATTGTAATTTACCCTGAATATCCTCGGGCTCTCTGGGAGGTTGCTGTCAGTCTACACATGCTGACTCTCTGTAAGGTTCTAATAGAAATACATGGAACATTGGGTGTATGTTCTATCGATCTGAAATGTTGAGCTTGCAGGCATGATTTCCTCTTTTCTCTAATATCACGAATGGTCCATATAATTTTGGATTGAGTTTCTTTAACTTCCAATGTGTATGAATGGTTTTTGCGTTTAACATTACTTTATCACCAATTTTGAAGTCTAGTTATTACTTGGCTTTTCTATTATAGTATTAGGCCATGACTTCTCAGGTCTGATGGAGTGACTACCTTGCTTGCTCTTGAATTGTCTTTAACCTATTTGCATAAAGTGTATAGTCCCTCATCAGAAGTGTTCATAAAATGCTTACTAAGCAACCTCACTGAAAAATGTGGACCCAAAAAATTGATTATAATGACCAGTCACCACTACTGTAACTATATAAATAATGAAACTATAAATTTATGCTATGTCCTTAGACTTTTCTTTTATATTGCCTAGTATTTTTATAATTTTTTTCTGTTTTTTTCCCAATTTCCAGTAGTCACACCTTACTGTTTCATACAAACTTCAACAAACCTGAAATTTCTTCCCCCTAGAATATGACATGTTATCCTAAATTCCTTGCTGTACCAGAGTGATTCCTCAGATTTTGGCTGCCTTGAAGAGTGGGGTGCAACTTTATATAGATTAAAATATTTTATCCAATATATACTTTTTATATAAAAAATATTCATCTTCACTATTATCTTTTACAGGATATTCTTTTAAGAGTTGGCCAGAATTTCAGAGTAGACCAATGTTCTAAATAACAATATAATAAACTAAATATTACACTAGAAGTTGTAGAAGTATCATCTTATCATAGGTATTGGTATTACAATGTATTTTTTTTTAAAATCAGGGTTCGAATATAAAGATTGAGACCATTTTGACAAAAACTAATACAACTATAAATATTTTCTAATAATACAACTTTGACATATTGCATTTCAACTTATAGCAGGTTAAATATATGGGGTATTTGGGAAATGTTTATGTAAGGGTGTTAATTTTTCACTATACTTGATATAAAACTGGATATCAGACAAAATGTTTGATCAACTACTGTAAATTATGATAAAAACAGAAAAATTAAAAAATGCTAGACCTTACAGAGGAAAGTCTAATGATGTAGCATAAATTTAAAGTGTAATTATTTATATAATTACAGTAGTAGTAACTGGTTGTTGTAATAAATTTTTAAATTCCCCATTTTTAGCAAGATTGCTTAGTAAGCATTTTATAAACACTTCTGATGAGGGACTGTAGCTTCTAGATTTCGTACCTCATGTTCCTTCATCCATTCCGTTTGTGGATGAAACCCATAGTTTGCCTAGAAAGGGGTTATTCTATTTACATTAGTTGCCAAGTTATTGTAGGCAAGTTCAACTAGAGGCAGCAATTGGTACCAGTCATCCTGATTGTAGTTGACAAAACTTCGCAAGTAACCTTTCAGCACTTGATTGGTTTACTCAGTTTGTCAGTCCAT